CCACATTTTCATCTGAAACCAAGAAAATATACACTTTAAGCCAGAGTTTCTCAAACATGTGGGGTCGTTTCAGGGGTGGCGTTGTTTCAGGGGTGGGGTCTTTTACATGTTTTTTATTTAAATGATTACTGACTTATAGTAGAAAAAAGGTTGAGAAGCATTGCTTTAAGCAAAATGGTTATATGGGAATAAGTGTCAGTTTAAACTGACACAAGGAGGATATGCATTGACATGACTGTTTATCGTGGTTAACTTAAAAGAATCATACAAATTGATTTGGGCTGTTAACTTTAATTCCATTGAGTGTTTTTACCACATAATTGTTCTTTAAAATTCTAGCATACCTAAGAATTTTATGAATAAAGGAATTTGAAAAGGAAAAACACATCTCATCCACTAATGTAAAAATGATTAAGTTTGTATTGAAATCTCAACTCCTGGTTCATAATAAACCCTATTTCAAAAGCTTATCAAATCTTAGACTAAGTTTTTTACATTCCATATCTTTTACTTTCAAAATTGTTGTTATCACTAAAAATACATAATAACAATTTATATCAATTATCATTTGTACATTTATATGCTTTAAAATGTTGCTATGCAAATAAGCTTGTTCCTCTAAAAAAAAGCGTATTAAATTGAATTTTCAAGATTTATCTAACTTTTTTTTCTGTATAGCTTTTGAACTCCTCAAAATAAACCAGTACTCTATTTAATTCTGAGGCACTTCTTTCAAGAATCTTTGACTTATGAAATTTCTATTTAGTGATGGCTCTATGTAACCCCTAAAGATAATCTACATCTCATGCAGGACTTGTTTTTCTTTTCTTTTTTCTTTGCCACAACCTTTTCAGTGTTTATACATCTTTTATGTATTAGGTAATTATGCTTACCTTATACTATTCTTTTTTTGTTACTGTCTTTAGAATTCTGTGTTTCACCATTCTCATTACTACAGCATCCTTTCCACTAATTTGTCTCTGACTTACAACCTTGGTTCAGTTTCATGACTATTGCTTCCATTATAATCATGACTGCTTCCATGCTTTCTTCAAATTGTTTTCGTATTGAAAATAAGTGGCAGATTATTTTTGGCTCTCAAAAATATGAATTTTAGCCTTCATGAAAAAAGGTAGGTGTAAAGAAAAATAGACAAACATTTATAGTGAAGCTTTATTAAATGCAATTTGACCACTGCCTGTAATTGAGGTTCAGCCATTTCTTTTATCCTTGAGTAGTTCAAGGGGGAGACAACTAGAGCTGCCTTAACACAGCAAGAAAATGTGCAAAATAAATATTTTCCTTCAAAAATGTTAAACTCTCTTTGCAATAAGTTGAGCAGTTTATTAATAAATACAGTTTCTTACTCAATAAACCTCTCTCCTGGTGCAATATATATTAATTGCAATCCAAATGTTGATTATTTATTTAGATTCATCTTTTTAAAGACTAAATTACAAAACCTGTATTTTTTTTTTTTTTTTTTTTTTTTTTCTGTGGCAAATTTCTTCAGAAACCAAAAACTTTATTTAAGAAGAATCCTATTTGATTTTCCCATTTTTTTTATCTCAAATTCTCTGGGATGCCTTATAATCCCAAAGAATAGGTTGTCAGAATAATCCAGTGATAGAACAAGTGTTTAAAAAAAAGAAAGAGAATGTTATGCCTAATTATGTCATAAAATAATTTATCCAAGAAGGTTTACATACCATATATGCTCACATATCATGCAATTTTTGAAGACCTTATTTTGAAGCTAATTTTAAGAGGGTTGCATCATACATGAGATATAAAATTAGCATATGTACTGCTGGCCAAACTATATATCCATTTACTGTAGTAAAAAAATACAGCTGTATTTAAAATAATCATAATTTTAATAAAACTGTTTTACTTAACTGTATCCAATAATGCATGTAATATTCACATATTAGTATCATATTATAAAATACAAACATAGTGAATATGCATCTTTTCCATTGTTTACTTTTAAGATGTTTAGCTGTTTTTCGTTTGGTTGTTTATGGCAGTATATGTTTACACAACAAGTATAGCATTACCAATGATACTTTTATCATTCTTTTACTTTTTTAACTTATTTAACTAGAAGATAGAGGAAAGAAGTTAGTCTATTGTGATTTGGTCTCTTAAAAAAAGGAACTCACATGATACACAAGATACATGATAAAATCATTTTTGGGGGTACACAATACCTGAGATCACGAGTTACATAAGTATATATAGTAAATAAATTGGATAGAAATTTAATGATTGTTATTGTAGCATGAAATTAAAAATTGTAATTAGAATTTTTCTTGGATGCTATGATTAAGCATTATTGTGCTTAGACTCAACTGCAGACATTTCTTTGATGAAAACCTTACTCCAAATCAGAAAAAATAAAAAAATTTTTTTCTTCTTATGGAAATTAGAAATCATGTTAAACTGAAACTTACACATAATCTTTTTAGTAATCTTCACTCAATACACAGTTGCCACTCAAAGTAGAGGATTATTAAATCAGGTTGTCAGAAATAGAAATCAGAATCATTGTGTAATGTAAATACATTAATTTTTCACTTGATTTCTTTTACATATGCAATAAATAATTGATGCTTAATCTTACATTTGTTTTTTATATTTTATAAAAATCATTCTTGCAAATATTATTGTAGTTTTATTTTGTACAATTTTCTAAAATAGGCATTTCATTTTTTTCATTCAAATATCCACCATATACACACACACACACACACACACAAAAGATAAATAAGAACAAATTATAATATTAAAAAAAACAGTATGATTACTTAAAAAATTGTACACTTGTTCAGTTTAGAAAAAAATCAATTCAATAAAACCAACTTCAGGCTAGTGGGTGACCCCAATGATCCTTAGAAGTAGCTGCAAACTCAAATCAAGTGGTTCCTGTACAAATTGTCCATTGCTTCTGCTTTTTCAGAACCAAGGTAGAAATTAACAAAATTCCGGTTCCAAATGGCCATCCCCACTAGCTGCACCTTCTCTATTGTACTTAATGTCATGGTCAATCACTGATATCTGAGGTGTTCCCCCAAAAAGAAGTGCCAAATAAATTACAATTTATGACACTATGCATATAATGCTCCATATTATGACCTTGTGGCAAACATATCATTATATGTGAAGGGAGGTAAATTGCTTTGAGGTTTTGGTATTGGCCTGGTCTCCATGTTGATGACACTCCAGGCATAGTAGTCCAGGCAAATCTAATCAGAAGTTCTAGGAGAGAATCCTGAAAATTCTTGGCCAGCAACTCTCAGGTAACATGAGCTATGTAAGTGAGGTGGGGGTGGGGGAAGTAGAATTCTGCTGGAATATTTATAGCTACCACCTCACTGAATCCAAACAAGCATCATCTTTGAGAAGTCCACCTGTTGTTCCTGCTGATCACCTGGCCTCTTTTTGAGAAGATCATTCTGAGTTGCTGCAATTAGCAGTTAATGCCACAAGCAGAGTGTGCATCTTTTCATTTAAGAGCGTGCATCATTTCATGTTAAGGCAACGATAAACATGTATGAAAATGAAGAAAAAAAAAAAAGAATGTTAAAATTTGGTACATTCCATGCAACATTGTTAGTTCATCTTGCATTTATGACCTGCTAAAAACATTATCATCAGTCCCATGACCAGGTGTGATTGTAGGGTAACTGCACAGCTGAGTACCTGACCAGCTCCCTTCATATGTCTTAGTAGTTATTCATTCATGCATAGCATGTCTTAGGCAAAGTAGACCTGGTGGAGTCTATCCCTTTCCAGCTAAAAATATGCTTTCAGACACCTGTTGCATCTCATGTGTATATGGTTTAGTTTTGATACCAACTCAGTCTCAACAACATTTACAGGAAATACTTGTACTTTGTAAATTAATATCTACTAGCAGTACCTATGAAAATTTCATGGTTTTGCTATTTTAATTTTTTGATGTATCATGATTTGTCTATATATCTGAGATGAGGAATTAAGATTACTTACATTATTCAGACAGTTATCCTTATCTTCATTGCCATATTCACAACATTTCGGCTGTTGTACACTCTAGCCTTCTTCAGGTGATTGGAATTTCTAACCAAACCCTTTATTTTGTCCACCGGGGTAGACACATGGCCCAGTGGATAAAGACATTGGTTAGATCCAGTGACTAAACCCAAAGAGTTGTGAGTTCAATACCAGGCCACAGCAATAGTGAACCAAACTTGGAGAGTTGAGTTAAAGGGAAATAACTGAGACATTCAGGAGAGGCGTGAAATTAGAACAATCTACCCTGTTGGACAAAATAAAGGGTTTGGTTCAAAATTCCAATCATCTGAAGAAGGCTGGAGTGTACAGTGACTGAAATGTTGTGAATATGGCAGTGAAGATGAGGATAACAGTTCGAATAATGTAAATAATTTAAGTGAATCATAATTGTTTTATTAATGATTGAATAACCTCCTTGTGAGTTTCATGAAATACCAATAGAAATTCCCCTATTGCATTGCTAAAATCTTTGACAAAATATCACAGTAACAATCATAAGTGTGAATGTAAGTCATTATTTAAAGAACTAAGAGGGTACAAATGAAAAGATTTGAAATTGACAAGTTTTTGCATTTCACTGAAGCAGATGTTAAATAAATGAGAGCATTATCCTCTATAACTCCTTTATTTATTTATTTCTTACTGAAACCAAAGTCTTTGATATGTCTTTTTCATCTCCTCACAATCAAAACAGAATAGTCTATTAGTTATGAAATGGCAGGGTGTAATGTATGTTCTATAAAACACTTATAATATGATGATTATCAGAATAAGACATTCTTTTTCAATTTGTTCAAGAAGCTTTGTTGAGAAATAACTTATTTTTGGATACATCTCTATTTGATGAGATTATAAATCAACTGTCAAATTCAATTAAAAACATTTTTCTTTTGTTGTTGTAAATCTGATTTATTGACTCTTTTTCTCTCTTGCCCCCACAGGTATGCAAGCCTGCCAAGTGGTACTCTCCAAATTTCTGATGTCACCAAATCAGATGCTGGTCTCTACAGGTGCCGCAGTTATCATGGTGCACTTCAGCTTCTTCCAGATCAGGTTGATGAGTTTCAGTGGCGAATCAGCTCCGAGGCTCAACTGACTGTGAGAGAAGGTAAAAAAAATGCATTCGGTTTAATCTTATATAAGGATAATACTTAAAACCATTAACTGTTTATTGTATCCTGGATAATACTAAAAAAAAAAAAAAAAATGTGGATTAATGTCAAAAGCTCTATAGAATTAAAATCTCTACAAATCATAATATATAATACTTATTTTGTCTAAAACTACCAAGTAATTTTTCATTTCTTCAAATCTAGAGCAATGTGTTGTGAAATTTGAAAAATTTTAAAAGCCTTTAATTTAATGCAGTTAAATAACACCAACAAAATAGTTGGTTCAATTTAGCATCTTTCTTTATAAAATCACATTGTAGAAGTTAATATTTAATTTGTAGGAATTTTCTTTTTAACATAGTCATACATAAAATAAACTTGCAGTTTTAAAAGCTTCAGTGTGGATTCTTGTTATTAATCTATATATTATAAAATAGGAGCAGATTCTCTGTTCATCTCACAGTGTCTGCGTGTGGCTTTGCAGGCACATTTCTAATATATACGTGTATGTCTGTTGTATATGATTGTGCCATTTAATATACACATGAGTACATGCATACATCCACAATTCAACTGAGTTTGAAATAAGACATTGGAATAATACATATCTCTCCCACTCAGTCTGGACAACCCCTATCTTTGGTTGAGGAATTAAATCAAAATCTGAGACAAGAAAAAAAACCCTTTTTTTTTTTCTTTTTTTTTTATGTTATCTGTATGTAAACGGTTTGCTCACAATATAAGTTCCAGATTATTCTAATATTCTTCCCAAATATGTCAAGGTTACCCAGCAGTTACAACAGTTCTTTGTGACATATTTTATCAAAGGCTTTTGCATGATCTATAAAACCCATATACAATCCTTTTGCATTTGTATTCTTTCTGAAATCATTCTGAGCATAAATATCACATTGTATTTGATTGGTTAGAAAGCTGCCTCCCTGCCGCCAACATCAAGAATCAATGTTTGAATCCAAATTAAAAGCCATTTCTAATGCCGTTTTTTTTTTTTTTTTAAGCAAGTAAGCTCACTCTTCTTGAGAGATTGGCGTAACACAATCTTCTCTTCCAGTATCCTTCTCCCATTTGGCCTTGTCTGACACTAAATTAAGTTTAGTAAATATCAATAATACTTGTTGCTTAGTTTATTAGATGAGTGAATCTGAATTTAGAACAGGAGAAAATCCTTTTTCATCTTTGCAGTCAATCAAAGCCAGTGATTCCAGATGTAGGACACAATTGAAATATTTTGGGAGGCAATTTAGAAAAGCAAAAAGGCATCTGGTGGCTGTGGACTGAGTTAATGTTAAAGCGTAAAGGATTAATTCTAAAACTCTTTACAGATTTCAGTTATTTTGCTTTTTTAGCTGTTGTAATGCGGCAAGCAATAAAAAGTTTAAAAAGCACTGCTTCAGGCTTTGCTAAATGTTGAATATTAGTGATTCTACTCAATTGCCACTCATTAGGCAAAGCAGTTTTCATTCTATTTTTTCTCTATATCTTCTCTTAAATATCAGGAGATATTGTTTATGAAAATTATTGTTCATATTTTAGTTCAAATCTTACTTATTATAAAACGCAGGTTGTGTGTGTGTGTGTGTGTGTGTCTGTAACGTTTATATGTTGGATCGAATTTCCTACATTTTTTAGCCGATTTCAACAAAACTTCACAGGACTACATAAAATTACCTTTGTAATGGTTCTAACGGGGCCGAAAATGGGAAAAATACAGTTGTTTTTTAATAAAATCAATTTGAAAACACGATTAAGACACATCGTGAGAATGAAAGGGGAGAACTCACCCACGAAAATGTAAACAAAAGAGCATAGCATGATGAAAAAAAGCGTAAACTTGACGAAAAACAAAATTTTATCGTCTAATGTTCATATTATTATTAAAGAGGAAAGATCAAAGTATTTTGGGGGTATTTTTTTTACATTTTTTAATCATTCCTAGCACATCTGAAATTTTCATTAAAAATATTGTTTTTTTTTTTTCGTCAAAAAAAAGGCAGATAATCATTTTCAATCATTTTTTTCGATTTGATAAAAAAAGATTAAAATCTTACTTTGATATTCTTTTAAAAAGTCAATTATCATTTTTTTCAAACTGATTTTAATAAAAACAGATATTATACTGTTTATTTAAAATATTTTGAACCAAGCTTAACTTAGCTTCTGCTAAAAAAATGTAATTTGAAAATAAAACAAAGCAGGTTATAACCTTTGGCGTTGCTTGACGATTGATGAAAGGCACATTCATGACGTTTAGATAACTTACGGAGGAGAATTCTTTCTATGGATGGAAGGAAGTGAAATTATTTAAGTGAACAAATTATTTATCTTGTTACTTTTAAGGAAAACTTTCAAGCGCTCTAATTTTTTTTTTTTTTTTTTTAGCTTTCATTTTTACGTTTACGATGCTTTATGGAAAATATAAAGAAATTAAAAAATAAGACTGTTAATAGTGAGATTAAATTTCATAAGAAAAAGGTATCTAATTTAGGTACCTTTCTTATGAAATTTTATCAGAAGTGTACATAAAATACTATAATTTTATGTACATTTATTACATTTTACTGTGTTATTTGTATTTCCATTCATTTTATTATTAATTTTGATATTTCATTTATGGAAAAATGTCATAACTGAGATTAATATAAAAATAAGATCATATAAATTAAAGTTTAGCAGTAGTTAAATTTCATAAGATGATACTGTTACTTGTAGGTACCCTTCTCAGTTGAAATTGAAAACTCATATTAACTTCTCCATACGTGTTTACAAAAAAGTAAAGGGCTTAACAGCGGAGAACAATGCTGAACTCAAATAATGCAACTAAATTGTATTCTGGTTGGTCTTCCGTACTTGATAATTACTGTCCGACTATAAACACAAAAATTACATTTCTTAATTACCATGGCTAATCTGATTGGTCCAAATTATACAATTTTCAAAGCGCTAGACAATGACAAAAGCAACATCAACCTTTCAAAATGTCCGTGTGAGATTAACTAATGTTAAAATATTTTTTAAAATTCAATTTAAACATTTTTTAAAAATCTTTTTAAAATTAAAGAAATAAGAAATAATTGTATTAAAAATTCAATTTTCATTGAAAAAATTTTTTGCTTTCAGAAAATATTGTCCATATTCATAAAAACAAATTAAAACAAATAAAAGCATTTGAAACTAAATAATATATTTGTTTTATTGAGTTTTGTATGTTACAATTCACAGCTGATTTTCAGGTACGTTGGCCAAAAAAAAAAAAAAACATGACTTGCATTCTTCAAAGCCTTGTGCTTTTAACTATTGTAATCACTAAAACCGATGGTCTCAATTTCTAGAGTTTTTCATAAAATTAGTTATGGGGTGTTAATAAATATAAAAAAAATATTTCTGCCATGACTTTAATAAAAAAAAAAAATATTTATAATAATTTCGATCATCTGTGAATAGTTTCTGAAAGTTTCATTAACATCTGACAATTATTTTTTATTTTGCAGGATTTTCCAAATTAATGTGTGTAAATACAAAAAATGCGCTAAAAATTATCTATGTTATTTACTACCCCTTGTTGCAACAAAGAGAAACAAGGTTTTTAAATCAAAATTTAGAATATTCTAAAAAGATGGGAAAATTTTTAAAAAATAATTAAAAAAATTTAGTCTATCCTCTTCATAAAAAAAATAAGCATTTTGACGATAAAAAATTTTGTTTTCATAAACTTTGGTGTCTTTTCATCAGACTATGCTCTATGTTTTAGCGATTCCGTGGAGTGACTTAGGTCAAAAAACCCAGGTTGTTTGTGTGTGTGTGTGTGTGTGTGTGTGTGTGTGTGTGTGTTTTTATATATGGGATCGGATTTCTTACATTTTTCAGCCGATAAAACAAACATCCACTTTTTTTTTTCGGCAGGTAGTATTTCTTATTGTCTTGCACTTTTTTCTTTATTTACATTCAGAATGCTTTAAAAATTCCATTTACAAGACAATTGTTTATAATAAAATTCTATTCACCAATCGATAGACTCATAAGGGTTGTAAACAATGATTTTGTTTGAATTTGGGTTTGACCAATTCGTTAAAAAAAAAAAAAAAAAGAACTAATTAAGACATGCGTGTCCGTCAACCTTAAACAATAATCTTTGTCAATTTTATTTTTCAGTCTTTATGATGGTCGATACTTGATCTATCTCTTACTGTTACATCCCAGGGCAACGCCGGGCTCTACTGCTAGTCATCAATAAAAACCATAACATTATAGAATAAAAGTTATATTCCACAGAATTTCTGGTAGCCAAAAATTGACCAAACTAAGCAAATTTCTTTAAGAAAAAAAATAATAGAAGATTTAATTTGATTTTGTACAGTTTATCAACCCTTTGCAGGTTATTTAAAGCCAGAAAAGTGTTTAGACTGTAAGATTTTTTTTTCTTAGATAATAATGGTTCTAGTGATATGTCTTACTAATTAACCCATAACTGGGAGGGCAACAATATGGATTCATACCTTTCCCAAGAGTATTTGAGCATAAGTGAATGTAATGACCCCAATGGGAATTGGAACTCAACTCTCCGATTAATAATTCCAAGCCATTATCCATTACTCCATTTGTGCATCCAAGTATAAAACATGGTATTCTCAAACACTCACCCATCTAGGTACTAACTAGGCTCAATGTTGCTTAACTTTAGTGATCAACATGTGACCATAAGCAGAAGATTTAAAACATTGGAGTAGATCTTATAAAATTTTATTTGCATAGATATAAAAGTAATATATTTTCTGTTTATACATTATTTTTTATAGATATAATTTAAGTAGTTGTTTTTTGTGAGGTCTCTTTTGTGCTCACAAAAAACAACTTGGCTAATGCACTAGTCATACATAGAAATAAATTCAACCATAACTTTGATTTTAAAAATGCTACACTCATAAAAAAAGAAAATAACTCACTCAGAAGGAAAATTCTGGAGAGTGCCGCCATAGAA